GGGGGGAGGGATCTTGGATGCACACTGCTGAGGAATCCCACAATAGAACGAAACAGTCGTCCAGTTCTTCCAGGTTTTCCATGATGATCTAGCCTCGACTGACTCATGATTTCAACTATTGAAATGACTAAAATCTCCACAAAATCCCTTCTAATACTAATCCTGGTTAATTTAATATGTTTAAAAAGTCAAATGGTAAATAAATTATGACATACCATTGACCAACAAAATCATGAGATATGAGATAATGCCCTGGTACGGCCGAGAGTGGGGAGAGTCCGCTCACCCTCTCCAAACGCTCTCACATGGCCACGCGTATATAGCCTCTGCCAGGGAAGTATTACTCACTGACTTCTCGCATCACGGGTGTTGTTTACGAAAATGAGAGGACGAAAAGCGAATGTCCGGCGCTTTAACCGGATCCCAAACCAATGATGCACATGGGCTGGATCCAGGATCCTGAGAGAACAAATGGCATAGGAACTAAATATTGGTCACCGATTACCATGGGACTGCATCTCCTCATATTGCTCCACTGCTTTGTGAATCAGACCTTTAAGTCGAAGGCTCGGGGTGTGGCCCCCTAAGAAAACCACCTATTTTGGTTTGGGTACCCAGGCAGTATCACAGCCCTCACACAAATCAAATGAGATCTGTGTGGTGCATATGTATTTGATGCCTCCTTGTACCAATATCTATGTATTAAAATAAATAAATAATAATAATTCTGAATCTTATTAACAGATGATGACTTTCAAGTTGGTAATAGTGTAATAATAGTAGGGATTAAATAATTCAATTTGAATTACAATTAGTAAGATCTTACATCTTTTACTTCTAACTTTATTAGTTACATTTATCAATGTTACATGTCATATAATTTAATATAAACCTCTTTACATAATGATAAGATATTTCTTTTAGGGTAGAAAACTCTAATATTATCAAAATGTTAAACTACATTATAATGCATTTATAAGAATTGAAGATTATTCACACTTTATATGTCAGCTTTGTTATCTTAGCTTATCATTTGGGTTTATTGTGTAATGAGACCATAATTTATAGACGATCTTTGAGCAACACCAAAATGATCTTGGGAATGTCTACCTACTTAATAGAGTTATTAAAGGAAGGTTATAAAGCAGTTTGAAGAATAAAGACGATAATTTACAGTTGATTGTAAGAGTTAAGATTTAGATTTATGGTTTTCATCACAAACTGATAACAGTTGAAATGCCATGACGCTATTTGGACGAATGAGTAAGTGAATTTCGCGCCAAACTCCAAGACCTGTTATCTTAAATCTGATCGGTTCGTCCATAAATGATAATCTCACCTATTGTGCTAGTTTACACTTCATCTATTCGAATTATGTTGAAGATGATAAAAAATAGTGCACTGTTTATCTTTCTTTTAATAAGTTTAGTATACTAAATTTTCTAGAGTAGTTACCTGGTAGTAAAAATGTAGGATGTGAGAATTTTTTGTCACAGTAAATAGTTAATCACACAATACCGCGATTTAGTTGAAGTTAGATACGTACACCATTGGATGTCAACTCAGTGGTCTAGAGGCTAAGAGCGCGCACATGGTAGTCATATATTGTAGTTTTAAACATTCAACCTGATGGTTGAAGAAGTTACAGTTTTGTCTGGTTACATATTGGTTGAATCGATAATGGCTTCCTCGTTGTTCTTATTTGTATGATGTTGTGTTAGTTCGCAAGGCACTTCAGATTCTACTAATGATAAAAACAAAACATCATACAAACCTTTGTAATCAACTACTGGATTCACAGTGATTTACAAAACAGTTCCTGAGTCGTTAAGCATCGCTGCCCATTCTCAAAAGGTATATGTTTTTAACCAGATCAAATACCGCATAGAAGTAACCCCGAATGCTTGATCTACATTAGTATGGGCAGCTGAATATCATCATTAAACTTCAAGCCTAAACGTCTGTTTTGAAACTGAGTACATAGACATTTAGTTGGTAAATGAGGACTACACTACTACACGAATTTGCCATTAAGGTTTATCGTTTTAATCCTTATTACTAGCTAAACGGAAATGGTAAACACCTCGCTATGTAATTATATGAATGCATTTCTTTAATTAATTAACTTCCTTATGCCTGATAGCCCTCGTAGAGAAGCATGGATCAACCATCAACAAACTCCATCCAACTCTCTCCTGTTCATTCCTTTCCAGTAGTTTCTATTTGTTATTCGTTTTTTGGATGCCTGCCTCCAGTCCGCGACGAAATTTGCTCGTTGATCATCAAGTGTGATTGGGTTAGTGTTCCCCGTGTTGTATTTGTTGATGTGTATGAGATAGAAGAACTAGTCGATCTACGAAGTCCAAATCGTCCAGCTGCATCCAACCTGTTCATTTTATTCCGTGCTTCATCTTATATGTCAAGGTCTTCACAATCCAGCCAACTACCAAAACAAAGAGAAAGGAAGAGAGTAAGCGGCCTTATCTAGCTCCGGTCCTCATTCGGATTGCGTCTGTCGGCTTTCCTCCATGTACCACTTTGCTCTGTAGTCCTTCATATGAATTCCGTATGATGTTAACGAGGTTCTCAGGTGCACCGTAGTGTCGAAGAATTTTCCGTAAGGTTCTCTTATCCACACTGTCAAACGTCTTCTCACAGTCAAGAAAGTTGATGTATGGTGAGGAGTTCCATTCAACTGTTTTTTCAACGGTGATTGGTAATGTCGCGATTTGGTTTGTGCAAGACAAATCCTTACGGAGTCCAGCCTGTTGGTCTAGGAGTTGGATGCATACTGAATCTTTCATCCGGTTCAGCAACACTCTGTTAGAAACTTTTCCTGATACTGACAGTAGTGTGATGCCTCTGTAGTTCTCACGTTTGCTCAGATCTCCTTTCATTGGTATCTTGAAGAGATGTTCTTTTTTCCAGCCCGTCGGCACTTGTTCTTCTTCCCAAATCTTCCTGAATAGAACGTGGAGCATGTTTGCAGTTGCTTTTATGTCTGACTCCAGTGTTTTAGTTTATATATTGTCAGATCCTGCTGATTTTCCGCTCTTGATTTGTCTGATGGCCATTATGATTTCTTCGGTCGTTGGTGGAGTGACGTGTATAAGAATGCTTGTGTGTGCTGTTTCGAAGTTTGGTGGGCTTAAGGGTTCCTCGAAGTATTCTACCCATCTGTTCCTGTTTTTGAAGCTCGGTGACTTTCTTTCCCTCTTTGTCATTAACCGGTCTCTCTGCTTTACTATATTTTCCTGCTAGTGTTTTCGTTGTTTCATATTTCCCTCTCGCAGCTTTTCCTCTGTCAGCTCTTCCACGTACTTCCGCTTGTCGGCTCTAATACTCTTCCTCACTTGCTTGTTTGCTTCGGGTCATTCAGTTTGTGCCTTGACTTTCTCTGCTCTTGTTCGGCTGTTGTTAATTGCTGTCTTGTTATTCTTATTTTCTTGAATCCCGTGCAAGGTTACTATAGAGATCCATGTCTTATGATGATGCCTTTTATGACCCGAAACCTCCTGACACCTTGAGGTTAGCGCATCTTTGATAGTAGTTTTTCAGTAGATCCTGAAACAATTGAAACCTGTTGTTGAAAGTTACCGTGAATTTGTTGATTTTGTCAGTATCTTATAGGAAGATTAAATTGAAACTTTTCACTGCTGTTTGTCCAGTTGTCCAGTGTTTCTTTAGCTTCGGTTTCGTATTGACCACAATCAAGTGGTAATCTGAAGCTGTGTCAGCTTTCTTCATGGTCCTCACGTCCTTCATTGTTCTTCTGAATTTTTTACGGAAACAATTATGATCTATGTGGCTCTCCGTGGTGTGATCCAAAAGGACCCATATAGCTTTGTGTAAGCATTTGTGTGGAAATATTGTGCCGCATATAACCAATTTGTTGAACGCACATAGGTTTGCAAGAATACATTTGTTACTAAACCTTATTTAAGCATTTAATTGACGAAATACCACACACATAAGAGCGTTTTAGAAATATATATATAATCACACCTGCAACTGGTTGCGTGATTAATTCAAAACAAAGTAGAATTTATTTACCCGGTACAGGCCTATATTCTCATCTGTAAGCCGTATTGTCTGCATGGGAGTTAGTGATATTACCCATGAATTTAAACTGAAGTACGCATCGCAAGATTTTAACATTTGACCTGTCGGTTGGAAGCTGGAAATTTTATTGACAAAGGCGTTAGTTTGTGACATTCGTTACTTGTGCACAATTATTGTTTGGGTGGTTCATAAGGTGGCTACAAACGAGTTTATTAGAAGTGGTAGACTTTATGGAGATGGCTTCTGGTTATTGATAAAATGTGAGTCACAAAATTAACAGGGTTAATTGAGAGAATAGTGTATATGACACAAAAAAAATGGATAATTAGGCACAAATAACGGAAGGTCTTGTATACATGCATTTCAGTTCAAGCTCCTACAGCACCGTGTGGGAAAATCAATGAGAGGAAATCAAACAAATCAAATTAATAAAGATGGTATAGAGAATATGGTTTTCAAACAAAAATGTAGGCCAAATTATTGAGGGCTGTAAAAGAATATACAGTTTTATGGATAAAATAGGGTGTATTTTGACTACATAGATTGATCTGTACCCAAGTCACTCGACAGCTTGATCCATAAATGATCATAATTGCTAGGACAATAACCCCGTTGAACATCTCAAAATAAACTAACTCTATGATCTAAAACTCATTTTGGTTGACAATTGTTAAAACAATAATTACATTTAAGTAGAATTCCAAAACAGATTGAATTTCAATTACTATTATATACGACTAATGACATCCAATCAATCGTAAAAAATACAGACATTAAAACACTCGAATCGACAAACTATAGGTTCATCAAAAAGTTGATGGGTATATGTAATGTAAAGGGAATTAATCAAGTAATATAATGTTTGTAAATTGAAAGTTTTTCACGTATGGCTTTTGGCAGCATACGTGATAAAAATCCAAAAACATACAGAGACTTACTCTTAAGTCACACGCTGCATTCAACAATATGTTGCATGGCTTAAGATCCCTATGAAGAACATTTGCAGAATGTATGTACTTGAGGCCTGAAAATGAATCATGAATGAATGATACAAGGTTACCTCTAAGCATTTGATATAAAAAGTAGCAAATATGGTCATTGCTTAATTTCTGTGTCTTCAGTAAGCGACACAGGTCAGTCTCCATGAAACATTCAACAATATAGCTTAACAGTAAGTAAACAATTAGACAATGGTGTGAACTTACATATCTTTCATCTCTTCAAATGTGCTCGACGTTATAATATCATGGATTTTTACAATCTATAAATTTATTTGTAGGCGAATGTAAACTTTCTAATAACAAACATTTTCATGGTCCATTCTACTAAGTATCCAAATTTCTCTGTACGTTCTTTGACTGTATGTCTGGTGTTCAAATGGGGAAACTTTCTTCAGAGCCACTTTTTCATTACGCTGACAATCAAACGCCGATCTTAATCATAGTTTGTGAAACGACTCAACATACACAACAATCCCATACGCACCTTCCCCAACATACTGAACGTTGTCAAACCTTGGCCCTAACTCAAATAGTTGTCCTTTCACTGTTGGTATTGGTGATTTAGACATTTCAGAGCACCAACTTGGAAAAAACTGTTACTCTAATCCTCTTAAAGTTAGTAATAACAACAAATGATAGACACTTTAGAAAGGCCTTGTGCATATCATTATAATCAGCCAGAAACGCATGACACGAGACCTCAGACTCTTTTGCGAAAACAATGTGCATATTTGAAAAAACACAAGAAAATCAAGGTTAAAAGGTACAGTATCCAACATTTCCGTGGCGAGCTAGTGTAAACTAATTTGCTTCTTAGCTATCTTTTCTTGGTGCTTTCCATAGTAAAACCTCTTCATTTGTACTCGATCAGCTAATTGTCCAACGTTTCCTAAAATTAAGTTGTATTATATGCACTGACAATTTTTTGTCCCAACACACTATTCAGCCACTTCATACTAGGAGGAGATTAAACACATGAGACCTGATTTGACCGAATCCGTGTCGGATTTCATAAAAGGCGTTTACGGTCTATGAACCTTATTATATATCCAGTGATTTGACATTTTTAAAACTTTGATGCTATCGGAAACAGCATCCAAATGCTTCAAATGGTTGTGGATAGAATAGAAGAAGCTTTCGCTTAACGGGCTTCCATGCCTAGTAGCAGTGGATCATCAATTCCTTCAGGCAGTAACCTAAGCATATTAACAATTATAGACGAAAAAACAAATTGGTAAATTGTAGTAAAATATTATCTTTAGTCCTTAAGAATATTTCAAGTTTCCTCTTAAAGGACTCCTGGGAAGTCGCTTGGACTAGCTCAGCCGGCAGCGAATTCCAGCATTTGAAAACTCTTAGGGAGCAGAAGTTGTATCTACAGTCCGTTCTGCTGTGTTGCGTCTCCAGTTTCTGGGTGTCACTCTTAAGTTTTGTGTCGGAGTTAAATTTAAGTAGGTGTTTATGGGAATATCCAGAAGTGTTAAGGATACTGTAAGCCATTAGAAGATCACCTCTAAGACGTCTGTGCCCTAATAAGCAAAGGTTTAGTGATTAGAGAAGCTATTCATAAGACTTAAATTTGAGTTCCCGAACTGATTTCGTGTCTCGCCGTTGGATACGCTCCAGAGTGTCCTTATCCTTTGGAGTGGGGGAGGAAATACTATGTTTCCGTACTCTAAATGGAGACGAATGAAACTGTTGAGAATTATGTGAAAAGTTCTTCTGTCGAACTGGCCAAAATTGTCTTTCAATGTTACCAGTGCAAGGTTTGCTCGAAAGGCATTTTTGTCACATTTAGCGTAGGAATTCAAATCGTAGGGTACCAGCACTCCGTAGTCTTTTTCAACTTGGAACACTTTTAGGAAGGATTTTCTTAAGTTGTAACTGTAGTCTGCAACATGTTTCGGATGGACTACTTCGCACATTGAAGTGTTAAAAATAGGTCTGTTGTAATCTGCCCAAGTTTGAGTTCGAGTCAGATCCTCATGAAGTGCAAGTATATCCTCTTGGTTGCGTACCTCTCTCTCCAGAGTTTCACATCATCGGCAAAATGTAATAACTCAGATCTTCTATATAAATCAAGAAAAGAAGAGGTCCTAGTACTGAACCCTGGGGGACCACACCAGGACGTTTCACTGCCTGATAGAAAGTGAGGCTAACCCTGACCTTAAAATGTCGATTTCTTAGATATGAAGTGAGCCAATCAATTAAAGATGATTTGATACCTAGTCTTTTGAACTTATTGATAAGACATATATGGTTGACCCTATCAAAAGCTTTAGAGAAGTCAAGGTAAATGATGTTAACCTTCCCTCTGCGATCAAGGATGGTTGTCCATCTGCATACCGCAGTTAGCAGGTTGATTGCACAAAATGAACCTTCTTGAAACCATGCTGCTAGGGTGAAAATAAGTTTAAAGTCAATAAATAGTCGTGTGCACCGTAGCATATCAGGGGCTCCAAAACTTTTCAAGGTATAGAGAGAGGAGCTACAGGTCGGTAGCTTGAAGCTTCGCCGCGTCGATCTCCTTTGAAAATTGGCGTGATGTGAGCCAGCTTCCGAATTTCCGGTAGCTTGCCTCGGCTTAGCGCGTGTGATAACATCACGCTAAGTGGTGTTGCCAAAATTGAGGCTGCTTCCCTCAGTATAGCAAAATCATTCATTTGTGAACCAAGAGAAGTGTCTTTTTTAGGTTCAGAAATATCCGGTACACCAAGTCAGCGCTCAGATTCACTTCGGAAAGTCCTGTGCAGTTGCAGATGAAGCTTTCATCAATATAGTTAACGTAGGTCGGTTGAAATGTCCGAGAGCATCATTCAGACGGAAGTTTATCGATGTCACCGCCGTTATTGAACGGGACATTAGGACCTAGCAGTTGAGAAACTCTAGTTTTAGCTTGACGAAGAGAGGCTGCATAATGAGATAAGCTTTTCGGATTGGAGACAAATTTATCTATAAGCTTTATGTGGTACTGAAGCCTGTCTTCTCTTATTGACTTTATGTTTGTATTGTCTGTACGCGCGGTTGTTAATTTATTTACTAGTATGACGGTACATACATAGTCGTTTTCTCTTGCTCTGTGTTCATAAGCACGCCTATTAAACAATTTGCATATTTCGCGTCTCCGTTATTTCTATTCCCTTATTTTCTTCCTTTCCTTCTTTAAACTCAATTCAATATTCTTCTCAATTACACAGAACCTGATTTATTGTTATTATTCTATTATTATTACTCTTTTTTCCAATATGGCAAATATAATTATATTATTATTGAAACTTGTGTATTATTGCATTTTTGAGGAAAACCCGAAATGGTTTCTTCACAACACTTATGTACCCATAAGATGTTTGTGAATAATAATAATCAGTTCGTTTGTATTCCGCTCTACAGTGCCTTTTGCGGCTTAGCAAAAGAGGAGTGCGGTTGTTGATGACTGTAGGTCGCTTGTAGATTTTGGGGGCCATCCGAGAAACAGACTGCGCAGTAAGAAATCCTAATGAGCATCCACATCAAATTGAGGTTGAAATTCTCAATCAACCTGTTGTAGATTGTCCTATAAAGGTGACACATTCAACTGTTTGAAATTCCCGCGCCTGTTGCTGGTAGGATGTCTTAGCTTGGTTTTTCTGAGTAAACTAAAGGCTATGATGGCGGTTTGATTTATCGTTTGGCAATAAGAATATGTTCCTAGTTCCTAGTTTATTCTTCCTCTGACAAGTGAGCAGTTTTGTATTGCTTAACATTGATTCTTGTTAAAATCCAGTACTTTGATTTCATCGTTTTGGAAAGACAAAAGTTTCCTTGTTTGGCTGGTTCAATTTTACTTTTAAATATTTAGGTTACACAAGTCTCACGAAAGGAAAACCGTTTATGTATTTTGCGCATTTTCCATATTATATACGTAAATTCATGCTTAAATAGCATCTTTCCTGTAATGGGATTACTTACTTGTTGATACTCACTTCTTTATGCTTAGATAGAGAGTGACAAACAGAATCATTCGATAAAGTACTTGTTACCCACAGCGTAGACCGTTCATCAGAATTCTCGATTGAGCTCTGTCCCGTTCATTCCGTCCCATTACTTTCCAAACGCTATTCATTCTTCGGATGCCTGCTTTCAATGCGCGACGAAATTTTTTCGATGGTCATCCTCTTTTCCGTTTCCCTCTAGGATTAAAAGTTGACACTTGCCTCGTGATACAGTTTGATGACTTCCGTAATGTATGTCCTATCCATTTCCGTCATCTTTTCCTAATTTCCTTCTGAGCTGCATCTTGGATTGTCCTCTCACACAGTAGGCTGTTGCTCATGGTATACGGTCAACGGATATTCAATAGAAAATCTTCAGTAGACAATTGTTTATAAATACTTGTACACTTTCGATGATTGTTTGTTAGGGTTGAAAAGCTTAACGAGTTCACTTAGATTACGAACGAGAACGAGATTCAGTGACCAACGACCAGTAAGCTATCTATTGACGCGTCCCAGCCCCAGCTAACTAGAGGAAGAAGTCCCGGCTTGAAATGAGAAGTATATTCTGCAACAACCCAAAACCAGCAAACTTTTTTACAAAGACAATTTTAAACGTATATATGTAAATATCTATACATCGATATTGCCATGGAGCTTTTAAACATCTAATCGATAGTTCGTCAATTGACTGCCATTGAATTATTTAAACATTTAATCGATAAATTCGTCAATCGACTATATGCATGGGTGGTAAGAAATGCCCACGTATACATGTGCATACAAGCTCCACACGATAAAATTACAAACTATGAGTTCTGGGGGAAATGACACCTTTTCTCATTCAGGAATGGCATTAGATAATTTCTGGGGTATTTTCTGAATACCCCAACACCTCCCTTTGGAAGAGTTAATAGCGACGTAACTGAGGCTTTACTTGAAATTTCTTTGGTTGTTTTCGTTTGCGACCCGACCTTCGAGGTAACCACCCAGAACTAGAAGGATGTTCTACTTGAGTAGATGACTTAGTTGTCTCTGTTGGAGGTATTGGCGGAAGTTGAAAAGTATCCAACAACAAGTCCAGTGGGATGCGCTTCGTAATTGCTTCTTTCTCCTTAGCTTCTCTTAGCCTTAGCTGATTTTGGTGTCTGGTCCAGATTTCTTGGTTCACTTTGACATCATACATGACGTCCCCATGTTTCTTTGTAGTCTCACCCTCTACCCATCTATCGCACCCGTGTCTATAATCCCGCGCATACACTTTTGTACCAACTTTGTAGGGAATTCTAGTATTCTTCATCTGAGGGCTTTGCTTAACCATTTGCTTGGGTGTCATCGCACAATGAACTGTCCGTAGCTTCCGCCCCATAAGCATCTCGGCGGGGGACTTAAAGTTTGGCAATAAGTTATGTGGAGTCGTACGATACACCATTAGAAATCGTTGTATGATATCTTCTGTGGTCCCCTCCCCTCGTGCTTTAAGCATGGCTCGTTTAAATGTATCAACGAACCTTTCAGCTTGTCCATTAGATTGAGGGTGATATGGCGGAGAACGGACATGGTTGATTGAGTTTTGCATGCAAAATTCTCGGAATTGACTAGATGTGAACTGTGAACCGTTGTCTGTTACTATTGTTTCTGGAAGACCATGCTGGGCGAAGATCTGATTAAGGAGGTTGATGGTTCGAGTTGTAGAGGGTGGCGTAATCGGCAATATCTCCGGAAATTTGGAAAAGGAATCAACCAGTATCAGATATGTGGCACCATCTAGGGGTCCAATG